GATTAATGACCCAATGCAGCTGTGCGCATGCACAATATTGTCAACTACCTTGCCAGCCATCCCAATAGCCATCACATCTGTGTTTCTTTCCTTTTCACATTCCCTAACCTCACAACTATCAATAAACAACCACAATATGCTTGCCACAACACGTTCTGGGAGCCAACAGTAGCTCTAGCCACCATACATTTTGGGATTGAACAATAACCCAAGCAGACCACACATGCTGACTTAGTTACAAGGGCGGGATCGCTTCTAGGAGCGGAGCTCACTAGAAGCCTAGTTACGACTTCTCCATCCTCTAAACGCCAGGGTTCAAAGTGCTTCAGCGCCGCGCCGGAGCGCGGCGCTTCCGCGCGTTTCACCAGGACGTTCAATCGGTCGGAGCGACGGGCGGTGTGTACAAAGGGCAGGGACGTAATCACCGCGAGCTGATGACTCGCGATTACGAGGCATTCCTCGTTCAAGACCAAGAATTGCAAGAGTCTATCCCCGTCACGGGGCGGTTTTCAAGATTGCCCGGGCATTTCTGCCCAGGGCGCACTCTCTTCCCGCGCCAGTGTAGCGCGCGTGCGGCCCAGGACATCTAAGGGCATCACAGACCTGTTATCGCCTCAAACTTCCGCTGGCGTGTGCCAGCAGTCCCTCTAAGAAGCCGGCCGCCCGGCGGGCCGGACGGGGCTATTTAGCAGGTTGAGGTCTCGTTCGTTACCGGAATTAACCTGACAAGGCAACCCACGAACTGGGAACGGCCATGCACCACCACCCATGAAATCAAGAAAGAGCTCTCAATCTGTCCATCCTCGCCATGTCCGGACCTGGTGAGGTTCCCCGTGTTGAGTCAAATTAAGCCGCAGGCTCCACGCCTGGTGGTGCCCTTCCGTCAATTCCTTTAAGTTTCAGCCTTGCGACCGTACTCCCCCCGGAACCCAAAGACTTCGATTTCTCGTCAGGTGCCGGCGGGGCCTCAAAACGGAACGCCCGCCGATCCCTAGTCGGCATCGTTTACGGTTGGGACTACGACGGTATCTAATCATCTTCGATCCCCCAACTTTCGTTCTTGATCAACGGAGACGTCCTTGGCAATCGCTTTCGCAGATGTTCGCCTTCCACAAATCCAAGAATTTCACCTCTGACAGTGGAATACGAATGCCCCCGACCGCTCCTCTCGATCATTGCTACGGACACCGCAGACCAACCACGTGCGGCCCACAGCCCTCTCGTGTTATTCCATGCTAGCGTATTCGGGCAGCCGCCTGCTTTGAACACTCTATTTTCCTCAAAGTAACCCGGACGGACGACCGCGGCCAGACAGTGAAGCCCAGCCGCGGCGGCCGACCAAAAAGGCCGCCGGACGTGCGGTGCGCGCCCGCGAGGGCGGACCGACGAAACGGGGCCCAAAGTCCAACTACGAGCGTTTTAACCGCAACAACTTAAATATACGCTATTGGAGCTGGAATTACCGCGGCTGCTGGCACCAGACTTGCCCTCCAATGGATCCTCGCTAAGGTGTTTGGGTTGTGCCCATTCCAATTGCCTGACTCGAAGAGCCTGACATCGGTATGTCTCGTCGCTACCTCCCCGTGTCGGGATTGGGTAATTTGCGCGCCTGCTGCCTTCCTTGGATGTGGTAGCCGTCTCTCAGGCTCCCTCTCCGGAGTCAAACCCTAATCCTCCGTCACCCGTAACGACCACGGTAGGCCCATATCCTACCGACCGGTTGATAGGGCAGAAGCTCGTATGACACGTCGGGCGGAGCCCGATCGGTGAGGTTGCCATGGTTCACCTGCGGGTGGCCGAAGCCAGTCGGTCGATGTCCGGCAAGCACGCCCCTCCCAAGAGTCGGGGTGCACGCGCGTATTAGCCCCAGGATTCCTGAGGGTATCCGTCTACACAGACCGCCAAGTGGATTATCGCTGAGGTAATGAGCCATTCGCAGTTTCGCCCTTCAAGTCGCTCATACTGAGACGTGCATGGCTTAATCCTTAAGACAAGCATATGACTACCGGCAGGATCAACCGGATAACTTCTCGCGTTTCTTCGGCCGCGCGCGTTTCCCTGCCGCTCGCGCAAGCAAGGGAAATCGCCGCCGGCGATGCACACGTGAGAATGCGCACGTCCCATCGTTGACTAATGGGGGCGCGCATTTTCCGTGTTCCTTCCCACCGTCCACGCTCACAACCCACGACCGGCCGGCGGATGGTCCGCCGGCGCGCCCTGGAAAATCTGCGGACCCCCATCCCGGGGACCGCCCTGCCAAACACCCGTGCCACTGCACACCGCTACTGTGCACAACTCCAGATCGGCGCTCAAAGTCCTTGCAAGCCGGCGCGCGCGCGCCACCAGCGACAGCCGGCAACCTGCCGGTGCATGCTGGGGCGGCGGCGAGCCCATGCAACATGAAAACAGGCGCCATTGAGCCGCAAGCACCCTGCGAGTGACCCCTCGGCGTTCAATGGATGGCTGTTTCGAGTGGATTGCAGTCAGCGAACGTTCTTGCGGAATTCCCTTGCGCGTGGAACACCACATTCCCCGACAACAGTGCGTCAGCCACGCGCATCCCACAGAGCGTGCAAGTTAACGCCACGGGCCGCACCACCGGACGCCTTGCACGAGCTGCTCCGAGGTCACATCACTCGACGGTCGGTCGCTTGCACGGATGTGACGTTGACCAAGTCAACCATATTCTGTCAATTTTTCTTGCGTGCAAGTGTAGCCCCTTTTGCTTGCATGCAAGTGTAACCCCTTTTCCATGCATGCAAGCAAAGCTGTGGGGGCGCTTGCGGCGTCAGGCTCCTCCGGCGCGGGGGCGCCAAAAAAAGCTTGGACAGAATGAATCAACGACAACTTCATTACATTACCGCGATCAAGCTCGCACTTGATGCGTGCATTTTTGGCCAGTACCGGCCACCCAACAACGCTCTCATCATGAATAATGATGTCAACACACCACCGCACATGTTGAATTCACCTTCGTTCGGGGCAATGACGCCATCACCATTGGCGCATCAGCGACCCACCACCGTCCATCACGGCTGCGCCCAATCGCCGTTCTGCAAGCGTGCGTGCATGGCCTTCCTGTCGCACCAACAACGCTTCCAACCTGGTCGCCAACACATTCTCATCAACGGTTGCCTGTGGTGCCGCCAGAAGCGCCATGCACCTCGACGAGCAGCATGCGCGGCAACGGCGTTCGGGCCATAGACATCGGCCGCTTGCAAGCGCGAGCTACAGTTCGGCGCTGCATTGATTGGCGTCTGCGCCACAACTCAAAACTGCTCACGTTCACACCCCCGCCGTCAGAACCGCATTTTGCACGGCATGGCATCATCAATTGCCTGCTTGTTTGATGCAGCTACGCCAGTCAATACAAAACTGTCGACAGAAACCGTCAACATATTGCCAATGCACTAATTTGGGCTTGTGAAACCAGACAACGTGCTAATAATGGGAGCCAGTGTGACTGGCTCTTGCAACATATACGTCCGAATATCCAGCACAAACGCACCGTTGCGATCTAGGGTCGGGGGGACGTGCTCCACCCATCGTCGGTGCTGTATATTGCTTCACCCATCATCGGCGTTGACTATTGTGTCCCTAACAGACCAACGCGTTCAGCAATCAGTTTCAGGGTTAGCTTGCACCATTCCCTGACAACACACATGTGCAGTTCGCTGGATGCACATCCTCTCCGATCTGCACGCAAACAAGCGGTAACGCTCGCATGTCAATGCCCGCAGCATGCAAACACAGCTAATTCGTCCACTTGGCGAATTGAACAGTCGCTGAAATGCAGTGCACTAAATTATATCAGAATTGCAGCGACCCAACAGCAGCTGCGGCTTGACGCCCCATGCTCGTGCACCAGGCACTGCTGCTTGGGAAGCTGCTCCATTGTGAACTATAGCACGTTGCCAGCGCAGTGCTCCAACAGACGTACTATCGGTTGGGGAAATCACTGAGCCTAGTCGAGGCCATGTTTCATCACAGTATGTTTGCGCCTGCCTGTTGTGATGCAAGTATAGTTACGTGCAAACTTCAAAGACGATTACAAGGCACGCTACATGGACGGATCAACGACATGCGCTGCCAATGTAAGATATCGATATGTTTCCGTGTCAAACACCAACGGGTCCTGCTCTAATGATGGCCCCCATCGTCAATTCAGTGCTTTTGGAGCCAGCTGCCAGGAGTCAGCTTCAACGCCTGCCCACTGCTTGCACCCTTGTGCTGGAAAACCTAGGGCAATTGCATTCACCGTCGCAACCTGGAGCTGCTATTCACTAGGTGCTGCCTTCAGTGGAGTCAGTGACAACAGAAATGACAGCAGTTGAAATGATGGAAGGCCAAAAAATACTGCCAAAGGTTCATCCACATGCAGTGTGCCCAACAGTGACATAGCAGTTGCTGGCCTGACATTCTTCCTGGCCTTGGACAGCCCAAAAATTATGTGCCCACACAACAAAAGTTCAGACATCTGCTGCCACTCCAGAATGCAGCGTGGGGCCAGCAGCCAACAACGGTGACCGCATCCAAAAGTTCACGGCTGCACGCATGCTATGGGAAAGGTTGGCATGGAATGACTCTCGAGTGCCATTTGTACAACGTGTCTCGATTCCAACTGCCTTGACTGCATTCGCCACCACATGACAGGGCACTGCCCTTGCAACCAAAAGGACATGTCCAGTGACGTGACTGTGTCTTGGAGACTGGCATTGTGTCTTCCATCTGTGTTGTATGTCAAATCGCAGCCCTCAAGGATTGCCCACCAAACGACACCAAGCTTCAGTTACTACTTATGCAAAGCATGGCAACAGCGACTCCTGGAACCGACGCCTCGCTTCAACACCTCACCTTTGCAGCTCCCTTGATCAGCTGCAGGGACAACACCTGGCATGGGCGTGAGCGTGTTTGGTTGGAACCGCTCTTGCATCAGCTCCATTTCTGTCCTTGCCAGCCTCTGAAATGCACAGAATTGAATATCTGCAGGTCAACAGACATCATGACCGTGAACTTGCCACTACTAACCCTTCTGTATTGCACCACCTTCCCAGTACTCTGCAAAAGTACCACATGGCATTGCTCCATTGCATGAAGCACACCTTGGATGCCACACACAAACCCCACTCCAGCATTCGTATGGCCAGGATGTGCCTGGTTCGCACCAATCTCAACGGCAAAGGACGCGCCCTGGAGTTGTCAACATTCTTCTGCATCACCCGACTGGCATTCACTCTTGTTGCAGAATTTCTGCCCATGCATGCCTACACACAATTGATCAACGCCAGGTCAGCATTGCTTTGCATGAAGAGGGACGGACAGATGCAATTTTGGGGAACAGCAGGTTTCAGCAGTGCAACAGCTCTGCCAGGTGTGGCAGCACAACTACCGTGCCACACACCTCTGATGAGGGCCATCAATGAGTCAAGGGCCAACTCCTGCGATCTATGGTGGCCTCGCACAAATGAACAGTGGTGATACAACTCAAGCAGGAGTCAGGGCATGAGTGCACAGTGTGCTGGTGCCTAAAAACCCTTACTGGGCACAAACTGAAGAGGCACATGTTCCCATGATGAGCACTACAGCATCCATTTCCACAAAAGCAAATTGGACTCATGGTCTGGCGGACCGCATTTTTGATTGTTCATAGCAAGATGCCTCCTCTTCACTTCAACATACCAAGCGTGGCACGTTCAGCTTCATCAATGCCATGCCGACATTTCCCTATTCCTCACATACAGAGGGGCACCTAACTGTGCACAAGACGGGCAGACACATTGCCGTGGCGCATTCTGCACCACAACCAATAGTTGGTGGACAGCCACCATACAGCATGCTGGGGGCAAATTTGGTCGTGCAGGCGAAACTGCAAAGCTGCTGTAGGGGAACAACTTGTCAGTGAGCTTCCAAGTGCACTACTAGCTGTTGGTGGTGCTGTGAACTTGCTGCATGGCTCACCTGAACATCTGTGTCCTCTTGCTTTAGCAGCCCCACCCAGTCCTTGCGGGATGAGTTCTCCCCTGCAATCAAAGAAGCTCAACTAAGGCACTGCAGTGTGGTGGTCTATCATTTCAGAGGGTGGTGGCTGCGACATAACAGCAACCATGTCACAGGGCTCCATATGAATCATCTCAAGATGCATCCACCCATCCAGGGCCAGGTACATTCACGATGACTAGCAGCGCAAGGAGGACACAATGACGCACAGAAGCTGCCACACAATCGCCATACCCGCGCATCGGGCTTGGGCGTTTTATGGCCATCGTGTACCAAACAATCTGCAGACAGGTTTATGCGCACATCGTCGTTCAGGTGCACGAGCAGTGTTTTGCTACATTTGAGCGAACTCAGTCAAGCCCATTTACGCCCACCCAGCCTTGTTGAAATGAGGAGAAGACGTTGCTGCAAACCAGAATAGAACATGAGCACAGTTGTCACAGGACAAGATTGCCCGGCGTGCAGCCCACATATTGTTGCCCTCAAACTGGCCCCATCGCCTGCCAGCAGCAATGGCCTCCCTTCAGTTGTCGCAACCTGAGAAATGCTTTGTTCTCAAACTACAAAACTCCTGTTCCGGCCATGCATATGGCAGAATCGGCTGGTCCCTTGACAATGCCAGTCCTTGCAACCAATCCTGCGCTTGATCTGGCAACAATATGGGATTTCAAGTGTTCAAAATTGCAACAGTAATATGTATTGTTCGCACACAGAAACCAGTTACCGGCTAACCAGCGATAACAGCCCCTACGTTGCTCGTTTTTCCGCTGGCAGTACTGAAGCCTGCAAGCCTCTTCAAATCCTGGTTAAATGCGGACGGCGCAATGTATCAAAACGCGTGCAGGCAGTGTCTTGTCCGATGAAATGGCCATCTCCGGGTCCTGGGCCTGATCGCGCCAACACGAACGCTTCCGCCAGTCCAAGCAGCGACTGTGAGCAACCCGCAGCGACCTGGCGCACCCGTCACCACTTTTGCACCAACTGCTCCGGACAGCGACAATGACGCACCCTGGCAACCCACAGCAACCGAGACCGGCAACGCCCCGTCCACACAATCGTCGGAATCAACCCGTGCACCCAGCCTACTGCCCCTCCGCATGACCCCGCCACCTCACCTCGAGCGCCGCAATCGATCGCATTGTCGCTGCCGCCCATCAGAGCGCGACTCTGGGACCCCCTGTTGCCGCGGGCGTTGCGCTCCTTGCATCGCCATGTGCTAAGTTTATCGCCGTTTTCGAATGCGTTTGATGCACAGCACATCATTGGCGGTGGCTCCTTGTGGAACGCAAGTTATCCACCCAAGACAACGGCAATCACTAAACACATGTCCTAACACACCGACACTGACATACCAACTTTTCCTAACACTTGAGCCATTGAACTTGTCTAATAATACCTCACGGACGTCCCCAATGGTTTGCTGGAGGCCCCCCCGTCATTGGATTGAAATAAGCAAGTCTTTGAGGACAGTGTCGTCCAAGAAACGCCAGCGTTAGATTGCAACATTCTCAACACAATTCGTCAATGTCATTCCATCCTCATGGCACCAGTCTGCTGGAGGTGAGTTGCATTCAAATTGAAATGAGACTGCAACGGTTACCGCATCACGCTTGTGTATTTTAGCACCATTTCAGACGTTGCAAAGGAGGACTTGCACATGTCGTGGTTTTTGTGTGGTTGCATGAATGGGAGCAACCAGCTTCTTGCTCCACGGCCAGGGCGCCAGCGGGCAAGTGACATCAACCACAACAGCACAAGATCCCATTTATGGGTTGGAGCACCACAACTTCATTGTTTACATAGGGACTTTGGGGATGGCAGCCAGTTGCCAGGGACCCACTGTGGGCCATTTTTGGAGGGACTCGTGCGCAACAGCCAAAGTGAACTGCAGTTGACACCAACCTTGATTTGTGGGGCCTTTCCCATCTGCGATCTCTTCTTTTCTGTACCACAAGGCGGAGCAGGGATATAGGGATGTTGAGCAGAATTCCTTAGGCAGTCCTGCGCCTGTCAAATGGAGGTTGTGAGGCCGTTGCTTATCATAGTGTTCTGACAATTGTGTCCCAAGGAATCAAGAAAGGAGGGCCTTGCTGGAACGGGCAGCAAACTGCACCCATGATGCCTTTGCTATGGAGCTCTGGTGGGTCACATCAGACTCCTAAATGTTTAATCTCCAAGGAGGGTGCTAACCATGCCCGTGCACTTGTGTTGTGTATTTTTTGTGGCATGGCCTTGCTTGGGGGCAGTGCTAGGGTTACAACAGTTTTAGAACTCTTGGTATGTGTAATTCCAGGGTACAGGCAATGGACACCGTGATGTTTAAAAAGCAAACAACAACACAGAGCCGACGTCGTGCTGCTGGGATACTGTAGAAGGATACACAGAGGTGCTAAACGATCATAAACACTGGCGAGTACGGAATCGAATCATCTGTAGCACCTCGTCCCCTCTGGGTTTTACATGCTGCTGCACTCAGCGTGAGGTGCCACTGAGGAAGTCCATGCATCAGCATCGTCTATCGGACCTGTCTGAATTGTCTGGCTGTGGGCTGAACAATGAACAGCGTTGGAAAGCCCCTGCAGTACTCAAACACAAGAAAGTGTGGCAAGCTCACAGACAAATGTTAATGCCTTGGACATGGTGTTCTGTCGACTATCTGTTCGTGCCCTGGAAATGCAGCGCATCTGTGGCCGGTCAGTGGCTTCCAAGGAGGTGGATGGTGAGGGTTGGGCAAGGACCCCAAGTGCAACGACCAGCAGGCTGGGACTTTGAAACTCTGTAGACACTGCATATTATATCAATGGAAACCTGACTCTGTGGGAATTGAATGGCAGTGAGATTTTCTTGCCAACGAGGTTGTCCCTGGGGATGTCGGGAATTGGAAGATTGCCCCAGTGATCCCATTCCCGAAATTAAGAACGCACCTTCAAACCACCCACACATAATGCAAGTACTTTCCACCACTGAAAACTGAAAAGAACCAACCGAGGTGGTCTGCTACGTTGCAGCAGATTCGGCCAATTACCACATTCACGCCAATCAGAGGAGCACTGCACCCCGAATACACACTATCCAGCATCAGTCCTCATGCCACTGCAGAGCTCACCATACAGAGCAATCTGGCATCGTTCCGCCGCAAGTACAGAGGGATTTGCATTACCAGTGACACACTTGCTAATCCTTTCTCAGGCTATATTCGCCAATTGTCTACCAACTATATCAGTCCTTCCAAGCAATATTTCTTCCACTACATCCCAGTCGTGGCTCTGGGATCCCTGCATTTGGTCAACGATGCAAATGGCAACGATGGTGGCCAAAAATGGACCACTGCGAACCACATCATCCGCGTCAGTCCAGCAAATCCAGGCAATGGCGGCCATCGTTGCTCAAGCACAAAGGATTCCCTTCAGTCCATGGGTCACAAATGGTTCTGTGATGCACATCTCTCACTGAGTGTTGCCAGACAGGCTGCCATCTGCGAACGGGTGTCCACGACATCCTGATTGTCCTAAACGGGATGCAGTCCCAATCTCGGGTATCCCCTCCATGACGGAAAACCCAGCAGGGCCCACGGGATCAGCAGCGACAAGCCAGTGCTCTAATGCCAGTGCTCTTAATGCCCTTCTCTCAATCCCACACCGTCAATGCAGGCCAAGAGCCATACATACCCTCTTCCTACTCATGCACTACTTTTTGTGCCATCCAGACATTTTGCCACATACTTCCTCAAGCCACTCCAAGGATCACATCACTGTCCGATCTCCAGGGTATGCAAACCACTGCCACCAGAATCATGCCAAACGCTGAATTTGCCTCTGACCCAGTGCTTTAGCACCACAAGCAGTTGCACCAGTGCCAAGGCCATTGTTGAACGCCCTGTTGGCCACATCCACAACCCCCTGCACTTTAGCAGCCAGCAGTGCTCCTGCCAACCAGAACAAAACAGAAAGTACCCTACACCCCATTCCCCTGGCTACATCTCCCCGCCAAACCCGCCAGACCCAAAATAGTCTTTCTTGTTGCGCGCTGCTGCCCTTGTCTCTGATCGCAGCTTGGGGCAGTCTGCTAGCCGGTGGCCCAGGCCTCCACAGTAGGCACACCCCTTGGTGCCTGACACCGCCTCCAACTCCTGCAGCTCCTCCATGGGATCATCCAATGCCATCAGCACCGGCGGTATGCGTTGCTTGGCCTCCTTCAGCAGGTTTTTCAGATCCAACAGAATGGTTTCTGACTGATCTTTGTTTATGAAAGTCGTGGCGATGCCAGTCTTCCCGCACCGGCCTGTGCGTCCGATCCTGTGGACATAGTTTTCGATCTCACTGGGCATGTCGTAGTTGATGACGTGCTGGATGTTGGGGAAGTCGAGACCCTTGGAGGCCACGTCGGTGGCGACCAGGACGTCTTTGTTGCTGGACTTGAATTCGTCAATGGCATACTCACGTTCTGACTGGTCCTTGCCACCATGGATTGCGACAGCTTCCACACCCTGTTTAAAGCGGAGGTTCAGATCAGTGCAGGATCGCACTGCTTGTGGGCAAAAACGGGTGGAGTGATTTGGAGCTACACATGGCCGCAATTTTTCACTGCCATGCTTGCAATCATTTCCTATCAAGTCAGGGCTTAGATTCTGGACAAAGTTTTGTCAATCGTGCATTCCTAACGCACGAAAACTTTGCATTCTTCAATTTGCATTCAAGGCAATGGATAAGTTGCAAGTACAATACCATCTCGACATGCACTAGTGATGTGCCAGAATCTCATTGGCATCTCAGTCTGGTTGTCCATTCCATTGCTTGACAGCTAACTGTGGATACTTTCGTTGTGCAAAGAAACAGCAAACTGTGTAAGCCCATGTGGAAAGGAATCGTGCCCATGATTGCCTACAAATGCGCATACGCAACTTGTTGGCTTGTGTTCATAAACATATGATACTCTCATATATCATCATACAGATTGCTATAAAATTTATGTTTCAAACTGCTGGCCTTACATAGGGATACTCTTTTCCCATGTTTGGTTATTTGTTACCAGTCTCATGCTGCTGCACACCAGCAACAAGGCCTCATCAAGCTTACCACACAATCGACACGATGACCTTTCAAGGAAGGCAGCAGACAGCAGCACCCCATTGTCAAGCACAACAGCGAATCCAGGTCATCCAGATCTGATCGAGCCATTCAACAGTAGAGAGTCTGCGCTCAACAATTCAGCTCTGCTCTCCAATCACATGATAGACGTATGTGGATGTGTGCCATGGTAGGTTGAGCCCGAACTGTAGGAACGACTGAATCGGGATCGAACATGGATATGAATTCACATACTGCAGCTTGTGTGTCTTAAGGCCTTTCAACAAAAGGGACCTCATACCACACCTTCACTAGGGCCAGGGGTCGTGCCACCAAAACACAATCAAACGTAGCGAAACAGATTACAAAGAGCAAATATGATAATATGAAACTACAAAAATACATAATGGTGGAATAGAAGTGGTGTAGGGTGGGATGAACAAAATATGAAGTAAAACAGCACAACACAGTGGGCAGCCCCACTGCAGCCAAATATACTGAAAAGGCTTTTCCTTGTTCTGGCGGGAAATGTGCAATCCCGTTAGCAAGTCACCTTTATGAGGAGGTATTCATGGATGGTGTCAACGTCCTTCTTGTTTTCTGCAAATATCAGCACAGGAGGTGCTGTCTTCTGGAGGCACTCTTTCAGGTACACCAGCTTCCCCTCCTCCTTAACATACTCCACTTCCTGCACAACCGCAACGCCAAAAAGTTTCATGTGCTTGCTTTCCACCTTCTATTTCACTAGAAATTTGGCTTGTTTCTTTTGCTTCGGAATCACAGAACATGTGCTAAATGGTTGTCAATATACAGCTGGTCAGACACAGGGGCAGTGTGACACCAGGCTAAGCCAAGCCACAGATAGCAAACATCACTGCCAGGACTCTCGGCAACCATGTTGAAGGACTTTCGCGCAATGCCCGGAGCCCACTGCAACAAACGGAAGGAGGCGAGCACAAGCAACTGATGGAACACATGGACAATGTCCACCTCACTAGAGGGCAGAACCACAGCACTTGGTATCTCTGCAATTCTCTTTGCCTGGGACTTTGCCTGCCCTTTTCCTTGCTCTTTAATGAACCTTAAATGAACGTGAAGAAATTCCCTGTTTCATCTTCTGTCCATCCTACCCAGGATTAATACCAAAGAGCGTATGCCATTTTCTCAATCACTTCTGTGATGGAGCCCCACCGGATTCGCCTATCTATCCAGCCCATTCAGTGCAGGCATGGAAACACACTTCCATCTATGCATGGGAACTGACAAAGCCCCCAAAGCCATGCACATGGCTAGAGGCAGTGCCAGAGCCCCCATGCAAAATGTGGCAATCTGGATTAGCAGATGTGCGCACCATTGCCTTTGCTGTCTCAATGCTGTTGCACCAAAAACAGTATCGAGGGGGCCGAACGAGCAAAGCCTGGTTCGAGAGTGTGTAACACCTGCTGTCCATCAAATTGCAGACAGACCCAGGGTGAGCACGAACACTGGATATATTAGCAGCTTGGGGACATGCCAGGGATGCAGACAAGACACCTTCACGGTGCTGCAACCCCGCACTCTGATTCACAACAGTAAGTGCAACACACTGGCTGAGTGAAGAGTAGCCACCCAGCACACGGTCGTCCCTTCCTTCTCACCTGTATGACATCCAGGTTCGCTGCCCCAGCGCGTCCAACATTGACTATGATCGGATCTACCAGGGCGCTCTCTGCAAAGGTTCGGATCTTGGCAGGCATCGTTGCTGAGAACATGAGGGTCTGCCTCTGGGCCTTGAAGTAGCTCAGCAGCTCACGGATGTCCTCCTCGAATCCAAGGTCCACCATGCGGTCAGCTTCGTCAAGAGTGAGATATTGGCATAAGTCCAAGGTCATGCGGCGCTTGTTCAGAAGATCCTGGGGAGCAAATAAACAAATGCATTACACTGCTGCTTTGCACCTTGGTCTGTCTTGTTCTGCTCTTTGCTTTCATTCTTTGCATGTTAATATTGTTTGTGGGTGTCCTTACAAACAGAATATGGAAAATACATTGGCTATGTCAGGCATCTCGTTAATGTCTGTTTGTCCTGAACTACGTACTGCTTGACAGACATTGAACCAAGTCACACAACAAAAGAAAGCAGGTGGGCAGCCCATGTTGAGAGGAAGGCGGCTGGGGCAAAAGATAGTAGCACTCCAGGGGAGTCTCACAGGCAGTCATCATCAATGCCTGCAACATTCACCAACAACCTGCCAACAACCAGCTCATCATTACAATTATCGAACTTGTAAAATGCAAACAGCCCAAGAATGACTACCAAGACCTCTGCATAGTGCACGCAACACTTGCCAAAAGCGAGCAGCACACTACGTTGGGTTGCAGTGTTCAGGGGCATGCGTTGCTGTTTGCAGCTCAGTCGTAAACAATAGCACTATAGAATGCTTCCATTTCTGCAGAGGATACAGAAAGTGACACAAGTTGAAGCACACTGATGTCAACTTTCATTCTTTTGGCGTTTCATTTTATCAATTTTTCATTTAATTTCTAAATCTTCATCGACTCGCTGAACCAGGCTTTGCATTGCTTCTGCGCTTTGTGAGTTTGTCGGATCAGCTCAGTTCCAGGAACTTTTCTTTCAGTTCTTTGACAATGCACCTCCCTTGCATCTCAACAAGCAGGCAAACAATGCACTGGGGATACACATATTCTCTCCATTCCAAAATGCTACATATTTGGAGATGTGAAGATTGTCCAATGCACAAACCTCCCAGCACGCTGGCACCGCTTGCACAAGTTGCTGGTGCACAAAATCATTGAAGCCCATTTTAAACAAGTCTGACACCACTTGATACCATAGATGGCAACTTCCCTTGTCAGGGTGAATTTGGGTAGTGCATGTACAGTAAGCACATGTACAGTACAACAGCACAGCTTCAATTGCCCATGACACATTTGCCTTCACCAGGCAAAGCAGGGCTCTTGCACTTCTCCCTTTGCTTGTACAATTGCAAGCCTACCTTCAGTCTCCCTGGTGTGGCCACTGCCACATGTATCCCTTTTCGAAGCTCATCGCACTGGCTGCGGACATCCACACCTCCAATGCATAGCAGGGACCGCAGCGGAGGAAGATCTGACGTCTTCAGCGCCTTTATGAAGCCTTCAGCGACCTAGCACAGCAAATTTTGTCAGCATTTGAAGATTAGCCATCTTCTAGCATGCACACCAGCACCACTGTTGAGAAGCAGTGAACTGGCAGAGGGAGTTAGTGGGTGTGCTGCTTGGTCCCCAGGTTCCCAACTACAACTCTCAATTGAGCGACAGCTTGGCAGATGTACTGACTATATTCACAAGTACGATGAGCAACCACAGTGCACCTCAATTTACTTTCACTGTGTTTGACCCTCGCTGTTTTCAAGTCTTGCCAGGCTGACCTCGTATGTTTGCCGAGCGAGCTCTCTTGAGGGGCATACAATGAGGCCGATTGGGCCCTCCCCATGGGCAACGGGCATGCGACACTCCTCCTGAAGGGCAATCATCAACAGGGGCAGCAGGAATACAAGCGTCTTCCCTAAAAGACAGCACAGAAGTGATCTATCAGGTTTTGATCCCAAAAAGGCAAAACAAAGGCTCTGGTATAAGAACAGTGCTTGTTTGTTGCTGCTGCTACCAGGATCCAGACAACTAGCACTGTCAATGATCTGAACCCAGCAGAGACACATGCGATAACCAGTGTGCGCCATTTTCTGCAATGTAGTGATGGACACATCAAGTCACCCAGGCAAGTGCCATCCACAACATCACAAACCGATGTTATTCTTTGTGAAAAGCGCATGGACAACTGCGTTGTTGTGTCACTGGCCCATTTAAAGACAACCAACGATGTCCATGTCCAAGTATCATGTCCACTATGGGCAATGTGCGCATGTGGGCATGTGAACGTTTGCTTTGCATTGGTAGGACACTCATGTATCAACAACGACAGCAATGGACTCACCCGACCCTGTGAATGCGATGCCTATCATGTCCCTGCCAGACAGGGCGACTGGCAATCCCTGCATCTGGATCGGCGTCGGTTTCCTTATGTTCTTCTCCGCCAAGTGCCGCATCACTGCAGGGGGGAACTTCATGTCCTTGAGGTCTGGGATGGGAGGGGGGATGTGGATGCCCTCGCAAATGATGTGGAACATGTCCCGCAGAGCCTGCCGGTCTTCCTCCTTCATGTGGCGATACCTGGTAGGTGGCGTCCAGCCTGTCTTCATGTGCTTTGTGTACTTAACGTCCTGTGGGGAGATGACCATGTTGATTCAAAGTGACGATTGATCTGTCATCGATTCAAGAATCAGAGCATGACATAAAACTGCCCCTTGAAACTATAAGGCAATTAGGTGTTCGTTTGCATCAAACGTCATTGAGGACGATGAATCATTTTACACATCTGCCTTGTAGATGCTTCATTTACTCTTCACAAGACACAAAGATGAGGGAACCCTGGCACCTTGTAGCACTATCACTCCTCTACTGTGTCAGGCTGACTTTCCCTTGGGCACCTGACTGACTGGTTTTGTACCTCTGCTGTGGGATTCGAATTTTCTTTGGAACATCGGTTGGGCCAGGAAGTGCCCCCCATACTAAGTTGGAACTGCCTTGCACGAATGATTTGGACATTATGTGACACATGAAAGTTGTCACAACAAACCAGGAGAGATGAGCCTTGCATTGGTTTGGAGATTCTGTCGAAAACGCCTTCATTCACTCTCGCACATTTGTGTCACAACTTGCAGGGTCTCCAGCCCTTTATTTCAACCAAGCCTGCAGACTCAGGGTTTTGGTTTACATTTCGGATAAACTTGTGGGGTCCTAAAATACTGATACCAGCACATTTTCTTTTGGTGGAGAGAGTTGCTATCCTATGATAGGGACAAAAAACTGTCCCTGGCCACAGCCGACTCTCACTCAGAGACCCATCTCTCAAGTCCAGCCCAGCATCCATTTTCCATTCGTGCTGTACACTATCTGGATGTTTGTGTCGTTCTCACATTACCTGTGAGGATGTATTCATTCACTTAACCCTGTGCCCGATTTCACAGTGCTCCACATCACATACCTTTGCCAATTCCTTGACACTCTTAAGCGCCTGCTTGGTTGTGATCTGCCTGAGCATGTCCTGCTCCTCCTTGAGCAGCTTTTCTGCCTCAGTCTCCTCTGGCTGGTCCTTCCTTGCGCGCACTGCAGTCACCAGCAGGCTTTCCTTTGGCTTGGGCTCCAGGTCCTTTTCCATGAGAGGCTGTGCTGTGTTGGCATCTCCATCATCGGCTGAGACAGCAGCATGCTGCGCACAGGTGTCAGCATGGGTGTTGGACTTTTTGCAAACAAGGCACAACAGCATTTTCAGGCCCCCAGGAGTGGCAATTCCAGGGACTGTAACTGTCACAGACTCAAGACTAAAGAACCCCTTGAGCACTGAAGGGCTCTTTCTTTCCATACGTTGGAAGAACAATGACCCTAAACATTGCAGGTGATGGCAGGTGCAGAAACATCCTATCCACCTCATTCAGTGTTTTTAATTCATAGGAGCAACTTCGCTGTGTCCACTGGAATTCTCATCAACTGAATAGTGCTTGTCTGGAGCTGTTTGCGTGTGTGCTTTGCACAGTTCTGCACAAATTGTAGCCAATTGCCACCTATTTCATTGGCACCCTTTTAAGCCAAATCGAAGCACTGAGCAACAGATTTTGCATGCGCAGTACCCGTAAAGGCGACCTTAAGCAGAGGGAAACATAACATACAATATGCACACCCTTCTGAAAACGGAAAGAAGGAAAGAAGTGTGCCCCCACATCCATCTCTTATTTGGGAATTATGCAGAAACTTCCAGGTTCAACAGAAAAAGCGCACAGCAGCATGGAAAGGCAAGCACGGTGTTGGCAATTTTCCCATCAAAATGCTCAGCCTCCAGGATGGCTGGACAGCACATGTGAGGTTGAATATGATTCGATTTCACATATGCCAGAAACTGGCATTGCAGAAGTTCCTGTCATGTTTGAAAATGCTGTCCACAGTGATAAGCAGCTTCGTCTACAAGGCCACCACAAAATCAACATTGCCATAGAACTATGCAGGTGTTGCTGGGCACTGCAGCATCCAGAACATTGTGGCCAGAGACCTGATAAGCGATCAGCACAGCGTGTTCTTGCTGCTGTCAACAGGAGATAGCCTACCCTGAGGAGCTACCAGCACCACATTGCAGTACATGTGAGAAAAAGTCGACATCCAATTCTCACAAGCACTGCATGGCCACATTCTGCTGCCTCTATGCATCATTGTATATACATGGGATGTGCAAAACGCCAACTATGAAATCTAATGTTGTTGCATAATCAGCATTGTCAACTTGGCAGGAATTCAATTCCCTGGAAATCTGCTGGACAGTTCTTTGCTGCGTTTTACCTGTGTCCTCACAGGCCCCAATAACTGAATGTGGGAGGGAACGGAATAGAACTACGACAAAGAAAGGTGACAAATTCGCTGCAATTGAGTCAGTAAACACAGCCAATCAGGCTTGGCTCTAGCTCCTACGCAACACGTGGCATTTGGCCTCTCAATGAATCCATCGGGTGCACTCTGCACATCATTTTCGAGCGCTGTCCTTTGCACACCCGATAACCTCACCCTCCCAAACCGCTGCAGGCTCCTCTGCTCCTCCGCAGCCCGCCTCTTCTTGATCGGAACATACTCTTCTCCCTCCCTGCGCCGTAGCAAAGCCATGCATGAGGAAAAAAATGACTCCGCCAGCCGCCAGCCGCTCGGACCTCGGCCCACTGGACGCAACTGCCCAATCCACGACGTTCAGGGTTACGGACACATTTGGGGTCTGCCGGCAGGTGACGGAGACTGAGCCCCTTGCGGCATTGATGCTCCACGTCTTCAGGCCAGCAACAACAACAACAACAACGGGCAAAGCTCGCAGCACCCGGCCAGCGATTCCGCCGGAGACACCGGACCGCGCACAGCGCCATTCGCTTTCTTTTTCTTCGGCCATGGCCAGTGCGCCAGCGAACCAACAACGGAAACAAACCAACGCGCTGGATGCGCGCACGCCCATCGCTGCCCTCAACGCGCAGGGGCCTCCGCTTCGCCTCGCCAAGCCAACAGCACCCCACGGACTTCAGCACGGCGCGCAGTCATGCGGTTCCAAAACGCTCGCCGCAACGATCAGCCAAGCGCACGCCGAGCCCCTTCAGTCTCAACCCGCCATTCCCATGGCCAGCAAACTCCCAAACTCAAAATTCCCTGGCCACACCAGCGCAAAAACGATCCGCACCGCATGCGCCGCACCTACATCCCGTACGCCAGGAAGCGCTCGAGCTCGTCCTCATCATCATCCTCGCTGCTGCGCCTGGATCGCTTGGTGGCGCCCGGCGGGGGATCCACGCGGCTGGGGCCGCCGCCGTCGGCCACCGCAACGGCCGTGGAGCCCATCGCGGGATGCTGTTGGCGAGGTGCAGACGATGTGTCCCCGGTTGCGCTTTGCGCTTTGCAGCCACCCCTGCTTCGCTTCGGGGCAAAGGCTTTTTATTGCGCTTTTTTTCCGCTGGTGTAGATTTTTGGCAATATTTTGAGGCAATGTGCAGAAGAAACACAGGAATGACTACTTGGTGCTGCGCACCGGATACATTTGAGAAGCACTCTGTACCTCACGTTCCCACTTGTTCTGGGGACGTGTGAGAGCTTGTTTTCTACGTCTTTTTTCATCTGCCAATTCTTTACTGCCATTGACAAATATGGGAAAACAATCACAGCTGTGGTGCAGCTACTTTGTTGTCAGGCTGGCTGTGAGGCTATGTGCGTCACGTCCTCTGCACGTACGTGGCTCCACGCTTGTCCTTTGATCCCAAACCACCATTCACAAAACTGGGGACACCATCCACCCAGGCGAGCTAATGAACCAGGCCTGCTGTCGCCCTACATCGCATTTCTTGTGAATGGGCCCCGTCTTGGATTGTGCATAGGGACAAACACTTTGGCTGGATGTAATTGGAATTTCACCAGGCCTGCTGTTCAACTAATTAATCCACTTGCGCTGTGGACTCGCGTTCCTAAACCAATAAAGCTTGCTCAAAATTTGCAGCAGAACACCCGACCATGCATGCCATTATATTGTCTATCGATGATGTGGCCTTCACGAAAGACAATTTTGCAGCTCAGAAGCTGCCGTGCTGATGCTTCTCGGAGATCTGCATTAGCCATTAAAGGAGAGATGTCCATACGGCGAAGTTGGTCCCCACGTGAAGACTTGAAATCTGCACACGAAGGAACCAGCCACGTGGGAGTGATGGAACATTGTGGCGGTGTCCGAGTTTGTTCAAAACGTGTCCAGAAGCTCTCACTGGGACGTTGCATACCGCGCTGCGGCGCAGGCTGCCCGGCTGCTGGTGCGGGTACCATTACTCGCAGAATGGCTGACTCATGGATTAGTTCAAATCAAGCAAAGATGGTTGTACCAGCACTAATTCGCCTGCACTCTTCCCACTCCACCAAAATTTCGCCGAAAGTCAAGGAGAACGTGGCTTCCAACAATGGTGGCCCGCAGATACGCCCAGCCGCTCGCAAGCCATCAATCGAATCCCTTCCCATTCAACATTTGGGAAAAATTTTGAGGCTGACAACCTAAACTCCATTAAGCGAAGTTGATCTGAGCCGCTAAGACAGCCAAACAGTCAGTGGGGAGCATCAAGAACCGGTTCAAGAATTCGTCGTCCGTCGCCTCCACTCGCGCGACCCCCACAAGCCTATAGAGCGAAAGAAACTGGATTCAGCAAGGCAGAAGGCAATTGTCAAATTTAGCGACTTCCAGACAAGAAATCCTCAAGGCGAGCAATCGAATGACGAAACCACTGGCTGTTTTGAAACGCAAGGCGGACACATAACACGCATGGGATTTGTACATATCCGTCATTTACAGATTACGGCACTGGCAAAACGTCAAATTTTGCAGGGTGCTCACTTTCCACGCCCATCATCGTTGAGCTTCTCTCCAGTTGCGCTGAAGAGGGCTCCCTGCGCATTGCCAGTGGACAGCTTGCACTTCACGAAGAGTGGGGAAGGCTGGTACAATTCAGACACCGTGAAACTGAAAAGCGCCTCAAAGTCGAATTCTGCATCGCCTGTGGACCTGTCAACGTACCCCTGCAGATCAAATCAAACCAATAAATGATCTTTTGAGAATTTCGGATAGTTTCTACTACGCTTTCTCTTCTTCATCTTCGTGCTGGTCTGACTCGCATCCAGCAGATCGGGGTGTACGCCGATGGCCAAGAACTGAAGTATCAACAGGCCCTCCTCCAAGAACATGCCAAGGAACAAACTCAGTCAACTGCTGTGCACAATTCCAACAAGATCAATTGCCAAGTACAGTGGGGAATAGTGTCAGGATTTGCGATTGCCTGGGCATGTACAGTCCATCTGGCTCCTCACCTCGAGCAAGTTGGGATGAATGTCGATTGCAAGTGGGGGTGGGATCGGCAGGCCGGCCACCTTGGTGGTGGAGAGGTCCAGCGATGGGACATAAAGTGACGAGGGATCGAACGCCACTTCCACCTCCCCATTGCGACCAAAGCCTTTCACACGTCCAGGTCCCCCACCACCCAGGGCGTTGTAGCTGAAGTGTGGGTAAATGGATACTGCCAGCTCACAGTTGGACCATGTGCGAAGTTGAACCTGATGCCAGGCACAGCAATGATGATCAACAGCTTCATCCGCCATAACCCTCCAACAACAGAAGGTTGATTCCCACACACAACAGGGAAGGAATATGGGTTAATGCTGTTTGCTACAGTACTGGAATTAAGCTGCGAAGGTATGCATTGCACTTCTGGGGAACCAATTGGGCCATCATTTTTAGGCTGTTGTCCAGTTCAAAAAACTTTTCCTGGAGGCACTCTGGTTTTGCCCCCACCCACTCTTGCACACGAAATTCAAACACAGCAGCCCTCTCTGAGTGCATTGCACACTGACAGACAAACACCACACAACAATCCAGAAGAAAATGCTGGCAACTGATTAGCATATGAGGAGTGTTCCTGATCATCTTCAACCGCACTGAACAGACATCAAGCGGAAAATTGATACTGGTGAGAATTTGTTTGAAGAAAAGAGCACGTCTGGCATTTGCTCAATGTTAACAAAAGTTTTGAAAAGAAAACTGCACGTCTGGCAACCGAAGGGAAGTACATGAAACAATGGCACAGCGCAAAAAGTCATGTTTCGACTCCCTACTGCACCAGAAGACAATCAGCAGGCCTTGGCATTCTGCCCTGGCTTCCATACAATCTTGCCACAGTTTCCCAGTTCAATGCCCAGGCATGCAGGTGGGGGATACAAACTGTTGCATGAGATTGCACGAGGTCGACACTCAAGATCATTCAGTCTCTATCACTTTCTGGTACATCGTTGCTGTGCCTGCATCTTGGAATTTTACGCCTTCAAGTTAAACGGACCCAGCGCTGTAGAAGGGTCAGCATAGGTAGAAAAGGCATTGAGAACATAACTTACAAAGTCTCCTTGTGGTTGAGACTTGAGACTTTGCAGCCAAATCACAAGGAGACATTGTAAGCGATGTTCCCAATAGAACAATGTTCTTAGAACATTGTGCTATTCAGTGCCTTGTTGTTTTCTGGATACGATTCACCACATCATCATTCTTGCACCATTGCATAATACTGCTTGAAGTACATCCTTGAAGTACATTATTGTATATTTTTCGAGCATATTTCATTATTACTGTACTATTGCTGGACGTTTAGTGACCTGCTCAAGTGCACTCTGGGAATGAACCAAAGTGGATGTTGACAGCACAAATCACTGCCATTCATACACAGGACAGGCACATCATCCATGAACCATACACAGGAAAGCAAGAATGTATAAGCAACAATGAAATATATACTTTGTAGTAGATAGAAGTAGGTATTACTGGTACCAAAAGTGTTCCAATCATGGCCACTTGCATGGATGCACCACTCACTGCTTTTGGAAGGTTGGCAGGGTGCACTACTTGCCCACCGTCCACAACTGTCGTCCCTGGTAGGGGAGCACCCGCCAAAGCCGGTTTGCCTGAACCCAAGCCAAGGGCAATGCCTCCTGAAGGTGGCAGGCGGGGCAGAAGCACACAGAAATCAGCAAAACGGGAATTACTGTATTCTGTTAATGCCAAAGTGGAACACATTCATTATGTCAAAAACAGCTCCACGTTAAGACACATGCATGATGAACTGTGTGCTCTGTGGTAAGTGTTCACCTCCCTGTGACGACTGAGGGCACGTGGGCTGCTCCCCATCGAGGAAATGTGCAAGTAAGAGCAACGAAATGTGCTGCGCGTCAATCGCTGACAATTCTGGCTGTTTTTCGGAGATCTGCTGGTGTTTGCGTGCATTGCACGCAAACCTGGATTGCAGAACTCTGATCGTGGGGAACAAACAAACACTTTTGTGGACAACACTGTTAGCATCATCGGCTTGAAGACACATGCGATGAATATCTTCATGTGAAGTTGACACACTGTGTTCAAAGCAATCAGCAATCTGTTGGATAAATATGTGCCGACAGACTGAACATGCGTAACATGTTGCGTGCGGAACATTCTCCAATTGAAACGATTGTTTGTCAATTGGCTTGTTTGATGTTCTTGCTGCCAACTGAACTGCAGCGGATTATCACCCGAAATCACTTGGATCGAATGATCATATATTCAGTTGGATAGAGCGATCTCATTTTGCACCGAAATCGGTCTCGACTCGAGTCGAGCAGGATTCTGGCGCCCACCTCGACAACAGTACATTACGCCCATGCAATATACAACCACCCAATGTCCAAGTCTCGCCTCCATCCTCAACTAGCGGGCACACCGCTCGCAGCCAGAGTCCCAAGCGGATCGCGACAGTACGCAGCCAATGCCCCGGCCAACGGTAATCACTCATTACTTTCGCGCTCGAGACTGCGGCAACGCCCTCGACAGCACGCAAAGAGTCCCACAGCCAATTTTTTCATGGTTTAAGGTGGCCCGCTGCACGGCAGGCTCCCCTTCCTCTCGAGAGACAAGCTCTGGCGGCACCAATCCCCAAAACTCGTCTCCCACATCACGAACAACGCCTTCCACGACCGCTCTACCCCAATGGGGGCGGTGCCCAACGTTTGGCGCTTCCCTTTCCGTCTAAAAACCAGCGCCAGAAATTTTCGAAACGACGCAGAGTGTCCCCCAAAAGGCAAACACTGAGCACATGTATGCATGTGGCGAGGCACATGGGCACGCGCCGAGCTTTACGTTTCATTCTTGCCACCAGTGGCACCCATGGCGCTGCAAAGCAGAACAGGGCCCGCTGCAAACTTGCTCAGGAGGGAGTGCTCCATTGCATGGCCTGTGTTTCGGGGAACTTCACACATCTTGACACACACTAACCGTACCCGCCACCGCCCCGCGGAGCACGTCCGCCCTGCGCACATCGCGCGGCGCGCAGGCGGCCACCCGCGATGTCGCCCCCCGCCGCCTCTGGGTCCTTTGGGCCACTCCACAACTACGGTGGTTGGCGCCCGGCGCGGCCTCCCCAAGGCGCTGGTCGTCAGCCCCCGGGAGGAGGGGGCGGGTTGAGGCCATACGGGCGGAGGCGTGGAGATGAGGTCGCTGGGTGGGGAGGGCGGGGCCCGTTTAGCAGGTTAGGTCAGCGGCGGGGTTGGGTTGTTTGCCAAATTGTCATGTTTTCCTTTTTTCTGGGATTTGGTCCCTTTTTCCAAAACAATACAGCAGCACACTTCAGTCTCCAGGCACCGGTCCTATCACAAGATATGTGGACCTTGTGGCATCCAACTTGTTGTGCAATCGTTTGGTTGGCAAGTTGTGGGGGCGTGGGGTTGGTTGCCAAATTGTCACCCACCAGCCGTTTGGGGTACCGTGTCCACCACTGTGACCACTATCGTTTATGGGCATTAGTTCCTCCTCATAGTGGTGTGTGGGCACCTGCACGTTGGTGCAAAATCATTGTAGTTTCTCTCCATAAAGTAGATTATTGTTTTAATAGTGTGGGTAATGCATTTTGGTACGTGAGGATTGTTGGTGTGGGGCTCCTGCCCTCTTTGAGCCGCGGACCCGCCTCGCCGGGCACCTAGGTCCTTACGGGGACCTAGACGGGACCACCCCAACCTACTCCCATATTGTATAGTATCTTTAAGCTGGTTGGGGATACGTCACTATATATTGTGTAAACTACTAGGGGGTAGACGGTTTACTCAACTTAGATACTGGGAAGTGATAATGGACATAAGATTGTACCTAGATGAGACAGAGGAGGCTATTAGCTTTCCATAGGTCTTTGAATCATCCCAAACGGGTTAGCGGTAGAGGAGTTATAGCTTACAAAAGTTGCAGTACTTAAGGTTGGGCCCCTACCGTACTCGGGGATGAGATACTATCGATACGGGTATATTCGATACTGTTCTGTCGATTGTGTACCGCTGCGTGCGGGGGTCATGTGACCGACCCCGCACGACAGCCTGTAATTCCATTGTGCCCACTCTCGCCTCCCAGCGGCTGCACCCGCAGGCCGCAAGACGCCGCGCGCACCCACTGCGCGTACGGCCGCCCCGAGCCCAGCCATTCTGCAGGCCTGGGCCCACACTGCGCATCCGAAGACACGAGCGCCCCGCAAGGCCCACCGGCCATCCGGCGGAGGGGGCCTCGTGGCCCCATCGGGCGCCTCGGCGGGCGCATCGCCCGCGAACACACCGAAAACCACGCCAGGTGGTTTCGGAGCCGGCGACCGCGGACGGCGGAAGCGCGCCACACGGCGCGAGAGCAAGAGAGGGGAGCCCCACCCGCGAGGGGGCCCCCCATTCGATTGGATCTTGGGGACATCGGCCGGCCAGGCGACGGCGCCCGTGAGGGGCCCGGCCTGAATCGGCCCGGATCGGAGACCAGACCGCGCGCCCGGCCCCGGGGGGGGGGGAGGCGCATGCTGTTGCATTGAGAAAGGAACCGGCGGGGGGGGAAGGAATCTCTCCGCGGAATCCGCCGCGGACGGGTGAATTGGAGCGGCGCATCGCCGCGGAATCGCGCGCCGTGACCGGCGGTGGGAAGGCGCGGATCGGGAGCGCCAGTGCCAAGCGCGGGCCGGCGCAATCGGCCGCGTGGGCCGTCGGGTCGGGCGGCGAGGAGCGCCAGGACCCCGGAGGGGGGTGAGGCGCAGCGGCGGAGCGGACTGACCGCCCGTCCCGCGACCCCGGCTGCGCAGTGGCTGACTGGACTGCGTGTCGGGCGTGATGTGACAGTTGAAGCGGTGGGAAGCGACCCCGGAGTGACGTGAGGGGGTCTGCTGCGTGTCGGACGAGTCAGGTCGCCGGGTGGGTGCCGAATAGCGCCCATGGCCAGTACGGGCGCCCGGGGGGGTGCTGGCTGCCGGGGGTGTGGAATAGCGACCCCTGGAGGGGGCCTGGCGGCAGGGGGTGTGCAATAGCGACCCCTGCACAGTGCTGTTAAGTACTGGAACCCAAGTGGAGCTGGAAAGGCGACTTCTAAGAGCCTCTGAGGAAGCTTCTGACTACCCGAAGATGTGGCCTGACTACCTAGCAGCTGCATTGCAGCTAAGGAGGTATCCTTGACCTCCTTAGCGG